CTTGTAAATACTCGACAAAACAAAATGGCTGTATAGTTACCGCGATACACGTTGCGTAATCAAAATTGCTTAAACTTGTGGTAGTATGGGTTTTTCGTTATAAAAAATATTTTCATCCAGTTTTTGAATTCTGTTAGCCTACAATTATTTTACTCCATGTGGGTAAATATTATAATTTTTTCTTTATGAAATTTAATCTAAGTTATATTAACGCAAATGTTGTTTATAAACTCACCAATCGGCCATGTTTTTTTTTTGGTCACGTGGATAACTTAACGCTGATTAACGCACTCTGGTTTACGTTAATTTTCGTTGTCAACGAATTCTATTTAACGAACCAGTCGAATGAAAATAATACTCAACGAAATGAGCCAGTCGAATAAGCCCATTGTGTTGTCCCACAAACGCACCCATTTGTGTATGTTTTTACACTATCGTTTTGTGTGGACCTTAGCAACAGTATCCAAGGGGGGAGGCTTAGTGAAAAAGTCAATTCATTACAGAGTTTATGGCTCCAATATTATATGGTGCATCCATGTACGTTCATCATTGTTACATGGTTAATATGAATGTAGAAGTTTTTAGGTGCCTTAATAGTCGTAATGATGCTGAAACTGGCGATGCAGCTAATACATTTTAAAATTTGTCAATATAGTTGTAGGCCTATATGTAGAAAATGTCCATAATTTAGAGACTGGATAACCCCAAAATGAAACCAAAAACCGTAATTAGAGCGTCCGTTTTTTTATCATCAAGGGCGTCACTTCAATGAATAAAAACTCTAATATGCCTAATGGGGCTATTCACATCAGTTCATGGGTACTGTTTAAACCTAGCCCTGATTAAAGGTATGATGCTTTCTGTCCGATTTTAATGAGTTTGAGAAATGTAAGACGTTGGAATTCATACATTTTAAAATTCATAAACTGGCCTTCAGCGAACTACTAATAAGCAATGCAATTTAGTGATGTATTCACAGATAGAGGGCAAATATGTATGTCATGGGAAAACCTACAGATGCATATTATTCTATCTATTCATATATATATTTTGTGAAGCATTAGGCAGAAGTCTTGACATTCCCATTTTGTGATATTTTGCTGAAAATCCACAAAAAATGTTCCTTTTTGTATACAATGACGAACAAATAAGTTGATTTAAAATTCAGCCTTTCTCAAAGGTATAACCACACCCAATTTTTTCCATTTGTGCGTCGCGTCTATGATTAATTCCATTTTGAAAAGCTGAGGCCTGTATATTTTATTCCAGTAAGTTACAAAGCTCAAAAATACTGTAATATTTGTTATTTGAAGCCATATTTTCAGGATATGCAGTCAAAGGAGCGGTTAGTGGCGCAGCGGGTTTGGTTTCCCAACCTCGAGGTCGGAGTTCCAATCCCTCGCTGTGCATTTCACTTGTGTCCTTAATCAAGGCACTTTACCTTTATTACTTCTCTCCACCCAGGATTACCTGGTGGGCGTTGCCTGCTACTGCGATATGGCAGCAACACTTAATCATGTGGACCCAATGACCAGTGAAAAAACTTACAGGGCTTCGTAACTAAAAGGCAAAGCGCAATATGACGGAAATGTATTGAAAATATGTTTTGTTCATGTTTTTGCATACCATGGGAAAGGAATCTTCAAGTTACAAACAACCAGTAACAAGTAAAGTTTATCTTAATTTGTTTTAAAGCAGTGGCACCTCAAAATTATAATTTTGTTAGCAAAAAATAATTATCGAATAATTCGGAAGACACCAAAATTGCAGATATTATTATTTTTAGGTACAGGTATATGCACAGATAATAAGATACTTAATGGTTGTATTGCTTATAGCTCAAAATCAGACCCGCACAAAAATAAAATAATATCAATATATTTTTCTTATGGATGTTTGAGAATATGGCCAGCCAGGGTATTGAAATCTACACAACAGAAATATAAGTAGTTTATATCGTTGACAAACTTCAGCTTTGTTATGTAACTTTTAGATTATGTAAATTAGTTTTACACAAGAGAAAACTAGTTAGGTAGGTACAGTATGTCAATTTACCGCAAATAGTGGTGGCCAAGCAATTGATATATTAAAGTAGTAGAAATATATCAACAAAAATAAATATAGGCCTAACTTACTTCATACCACGCATCAATTTGAATTCCAATGAAACACCAATAAAGGCATATGGTGATGATACTGTATATTGAAGTTTTGAGGTATCTACGTATACCCTGCTTAGACATCAACCTCACCTCCTGCCACGTCATTGCTATAAAATAAAAATAAAAGTTTATGTAACTTAGGCCTACGCAAGCATGCTTTTCTAGTTCACACATTACTGAATGTTTACATAGTCTTATTACATTTCCACAAATCAGTTGAGAGAGTTTTCTTGATATATCATACCTTTGGAGTGATAATTAAAATATTAGCAATGCGGTAATTAAAATGTTGATAATAATTAAGATTATAATTATGATAATAAATAATAATAATATTATTAACAATAATAACAATAATAATAATAATAATAATAATGATAATAATAATAATAATAATAATAATAATAATAATAATAATAATAATAATAATAATAATAATAATAATAATAATAATAATAATAAATACAATGGTAATGATGATATAATACCGGTAATAATTCTAATCATAATATAAAACTGTAATTATAATGATAACAATAACGATACTGGTATTGATAATAATGATGACAATGAAAATGAATATGATCACAAGTATTCAATTGTTACCGGATTTCATTGTGTATAATTATTTATAGCTGTTATTATCAGTACCACTAACACACTTCACATTTGGCAGAATTTTTTTTTTCGTCATTCTCGGCAGTACCGTAATTTACGATTTATACTGGACAGGATGTAATTTGATTCACTTAAAACAGCTGATTGTACAAAGAAATGAGATGAAAATCCATGTCTTTAGATGGAACATTCATTTTCCCTTCGATTCGTATGAACCCATAACCCTTCGGCAGTAAATTATTCCTACTCCATTGATACGTCACACAACCAGCATATTTCAAAATTTGCATACAAAAATGGCTATAGTTATAGTAAACCCCTCCACACTGACAAGCAAAATGCTGACACAGTTTGTGTTGTCAAAGACATTTCTTTCATTTAAATTATAAGTATTATTAGAAAATACTATATCCACGTAGGTCATGGATATAGTAGCATAAAACCATATGTTGATATAAACACCGATCCAAAGAAGTAGTTCATAATACTGTATTAAAATTCATATTGACCGTTTATCATCATTTACGATATCATTTAAAAGCACCAGTTTAAGTTAAATGAGAATAATTTATAAAGCAATACTTTAAGCCAACTACTTCAGACTTACTCCAAATATTAACCAATATGTCGTTATTGATATTATTATATCCACTTTTGTTAAGAAAATAGTATTTTTTTTTCTTTGTAAGCCTTTAATTTTGATCAATTATTATCACCTATTAAGACCTATCTCAATCAGGTAGGTCTCCCTCCAATTAAAGATCACCTTTGGGACCGAGGTTGTTATGGTCTTTAGCTGCATGCTTTAGTCTTTAATTAGAAAAAAAATACATAATTAAATAGAAATAAGATAAACATTTATTTGGGACAGCAGAAATGGGGGGTCTTTAATTACAGGGAGACCTGTATTACTGATGATACTGTTAAAATAGCAATGAAAAAGGAAGATGTGTATACGAGAGCGAATAACTAACGGCTTGGTGATGCAGTTCCATAATTAATACAACGCCTTGTTTTAGTATCCTGTTTTGGCTATTCTGTCGCATGTTAATTATCATTTTTATATATTTTTTTATTGTAGTCATAATAACGTTAGCATACGTTTAATATTTTAATATATTCAATTTCATATTTATGTATATAGGCTAGTCCTAACTGTAGATATAGGGCCTATAATTTTTGTGAATTTAATGTTCGTTTGCCAGTTTCATAATATACATTTCTGTGTTTTATTTTTAAAGAACAAATAAAATCATATCAATGTCCGTATCAAATAATTATAATAACATAACATATTAAACATTTTCTGAAAATGTTTACAAGAAAAGATATAGACTTTATACTATTGAAGAACAAATATATGCTTATATTCAAAATGACTCAGAATCATCTATAAAACGTTTAGTAAGAAATCTTAAGAGATTTTGTAAACAGTTTTAGGCTTTTTTAACTGTATATTGGGGAGATTTCGCAAGCTTACGAACGAATACGAATAAGTCATTATCGTTATCGTCATTCGTGCCAAAACATTCTTGACAATGCTGTAGGAGGTGAATGTGATCCATAATTCATACAAAATGCATGGATCGTTTACGTTGTGACAGATACGCTACTGTAGGGGGAAGTTGTCTAAGAAAATGATGACGTAACCGTATTCAGATAAGAAAGTATAATACATACTCCAAGTATTGAAATACACGCCATCGTGTTGGGATTCAATATTTCGACATTAATTATGTCATCATCAGGAATTCCTGATGATGACATAATTAATGTCGAAATATTGAATCCCAACACGATGGCGTGTATGTCAATACTTGGAGTATGTATTATACATTCTTATCTGAGATTAATCAGTGGACCTTTCGGTAACCGTATTCGTTATCTTTTTCGTCAGCTTGCGAAAACTCCCTATTAACGTGGCTTTCTCTAATGCTTACCTAATACCCATATAATTATGACAAACATTGGCACATGTAGTGGTCTCATAAGAATATGTGTAACTGGCGGTGACTCTCCTGTCGTAGTAGTAACATTGCTTTCAGTATCAGGCAAAGTTGTTCGAATGTATACCGAATCGTACACCAATATACATAGGAATGTTAGTTCTGAGGCGATGGTGCAGAGGTATTTTACATACGGAACCTGTAACAGTTGCGCCACTTTTGACGTTGGAGAGAAGTTGTAAGCTAGGCAGACTACAGGATAGAAGAACATTAAACCGACAAGAAAGAGATAATGATTTGTCTTCTGTCTGTTTAACCCCCTATACCACATCTGTTGGAGGTACTGTTGACAATGCGGATGAGCAACGAACTTATTATTATTATTATTATTATTATTATTATTATCTGTGGAAAGATGTGGCAAATACGAAGTGAATTCTAAGGCCTACCTGTTTTTGTTCATATTTTATTGCCATTTGAACTCTGTGCGGATACAATAATCCTTGGTGATGAGTTCCAGAGGGCTTTGCACTTTTATAATGGTTGAATATAATAACCTGTTCTTCTTCGCTTCGTATGTGATCTAAGATGCTCGCTGCGTAGTCTGCACACTGTTCCGCCAAATTTTCGAACGCGTCCCCAAATTCCGCCCTCTCTAAACTTAACTTTCTCAGCCTCCTGCTCATTCGGAACGCAACTGAGAATGGGTCACCTTCCGATGATGCTAAAGATATGTAAGCGGGATTGGCTCTAGCACGATATAGGTGTAGCACTGCTAATGAGCTGTCTAGATTATAGTCTTCCGTTTCGAGTATAGATGTTGGGTTTTTTATCGTGGCCCCATACTTCAGTAATAGTTTGATAGTGTGATAACGATCTTTCTGTGCAGCAAGAACAAGCGGTGTAATAATGGGGTGGTATTTACCATCCTTTGAGTGGCAATTCAGCTTATCCTGTCAAAACAAAATAAAGTGGAAAAGGTCATTAATAATGTTTTGTTTTAATTTCCTAACCATGATCTTTGATTTTGATTACGTACCGTAAGAATTTTAATTGCTGGGTAAATTTTGAGTCTTGGGCAATTCTACTGATTGACATGCAGAACGTGCAGTTAATTTATGTGGCTTTTAATTTATTGTGCAATATTATCGCTCACAACTCTGAATTGCTAATTTTTTTTTTATTGGTAATGATCACGGATGTTTTTCAAATTTGAATAGGACAAACCAAGTTCACGTGAATTGACAGATTAATAGGCCTATATGTGTTAAAGCCAAAACTATCAGTATTAACAAATTATTTACTTAATATGTAAGCAGAACCTTAAGAAACTGTTTTTATTCGCTAATTCCCAAATGCATTTTATGATTTAAAGGCTCATTTTATGATCAAATTGAGGGGGTAGCTACAGGGTCACCGCGTGTTCCTGTGCTTGCTAATCTTTTCATGGGGCACCATGAACAGATTGGCATAATCAATTCAATGATTGTGAAGTATTATTGTTTTACAAACGTTATGTTGATGATAAATTTTGTTTATTTCACTCAGAGCATGATGCATATTTATTTTTCAATTTTTTAAATTCACGTCACAAAAATAGTTCTGCCAATACCCCTTATCAAATAAGCATTGCATATACAGTGGGAGCCGCCGCCCCCCCCCCTTAATAGACAATTACAACATGTAAATTTAACTCTGTCATTCTAATTCATTTGTTCATCTTTATTCATGCCTTTCTTCCCCGATATGTTTCAATTCCTTAAACATGAATGCTCCGCCTCCCATTTCGTCTTATGTATTTCTTCATCTTTATTCATGCCTTTTTTCATACGCTTCAGTTCGCCAATTTACCATGAAATGTCATTGCATTTGTTCACTTCTATAAATACTTCTAAGCGCTTATAAGTATTGTTCCACCGAAGACGGCAGTTGAACTGTTGAAACATGTTTGTACCAATTTTTACAATAAAATACTTACGCCCTGCCTAAATGGTATCATTGAAATCCGTTGTGATTATATTCAAATTTATTGCATGTCTGCTGTTGCACCGTCTATTAACAAATTCTAATTAATGTATTATTAATTATTCAATTTGCAATTAATTTTTCGTTTTTATCGACAGAAATTATCATTAAAATCTGCACAAAATGTAATTAGGTCTATATTGCATTATGTTCACATTAAAAACGATACCGCATCTAATAAGACAATACAGTTGCACATATAATGCATTTTGTCACCAAGATAAATATAAAAATAAGGTTCAATATAAGTAATTAGATAATCGTATCGTATTACGCAATGCAGCATTAATAGCCACCACACGATCGTCATTATGCGAATATATAGATTATCAAACGGGAATACGCCAGTGATTATGGGATTTGACAAAATATAAGATACGCTAATACTGCCAACACAAAACAACTAAACTAGCCGACATGCAAATAGAAAGAGATATTGTTGTTATTGTTGTAAATTATATTTTCTCATTATTTTTATACCAATATTACAGTTAATTATTAACAAAGATGTGCAACCTGAATTGTCTCATTTATGTAATTTAAATACTGTATATAAATTTTAATATATTAATGATAACTTTTAAGAATTCAAATTTGTACATTTTTATACAATCAGTTTATTTATACTTTTATAATTAATTGTGGAATTAATTTGAGTATTGATAGTTTATTTTATGGATACATTATTGTGCATTTGCCTTTGTTGTTAAAATTTGTAAATGTACAGCATGCCAGTTCAAATTACATTTTTGTTTATATCAATGGACAATAAAGAGTTACCGTATTTATTAGAATAAACGCCCCGATTTCAATACCCTTCCACACCCTCGAATAAACGCCCTCTCTAGAGTCTCATTTGGAATAAACGCCTTCCTCAGCTAAATGTCTGTAAACAAATTTGAAGCAAATTCATTCTCAACACATTCTATATATGTTCCAGTAGAATTATTTTTTGTACTAACCTGGTTGGGATCAATAAGTCTTTATGATCACGCAATATCACATTTTGACGGTAATTGGGTGTTGTAGTTCCACATTTACAATGAAATTAAGGGGCGTTTATTTGAGTATCACGTATCCATTGTAGGCCTACACCAAAAAAATTAACGCCTCCTTCGAATAAAAGACCCCTCAAAAACCCTTTTCAATAATAAACGTCCAGGGGCGTTTTCGAATAAGTACGGTATTTTTTTATTATAATTATTATTATTGTTATTGTTATTGTCATTGTTATTGTTATTGTTATTGTTATTGTTATTATTATTATTATTATTATTATCTTTATATTAATTCTGCTAATCACTACCGCGTAACTTCCCTATATCCTCGGAAACCGCATGGCAGGAATTTGATCATATCTCATATACTGGGGCTTCTATGTCACGACCACATTCCGCTACTTTTTAAGGCTGGATATTGGATAACAACGAAAAACAGCCAAAAACCACTAAAAATCAGTACCTGTTTCGCCATGTTGCTTACGTCACGTGAATACCACATCTACTCTGTACTGCAATGCTTAGGTCTAAAAATTATCGAGTCAGGCCGTAAAAGAACCAGTACTTCTCACGTCAACAAAATGGGTGACAAGCGTGTTCCCGTACCTCTTCTCTGGGTTCCCATTGCATTATACTGGATATATTGTAGATTTATGGCACAAAATATCAGCAATAAATGGTATGTTTTAGAAGTCGATCAGGTAAAAATAAAGATACACCAGGGCACAATTGCCATGATATAACCTCGGCCTAACCATACCGGCTAGCCCTACACAGGCCTAGCTAGGCACAGGCCTAGGCTCTGGCCCAGGCCTAGGCTCTAGCCTAGACGCGGCCTAATGTCGATCAGAGATAGGCTTAGACCTAGGGGCCTAGGCTCAGGTGTAGTTAGCATACCTAGGGCCTATCCTCTATCTCTCGAATCCGGGTCGATTTGGATAGTGCATTAAGATAGATAGGGTCAAGCCAGCTCCAACAATCAATACCTTGAATTTACGTAAACACGTCGAGACAATTATGGTTACGGGTTCTTTTGAATGTCAGTAGGCCTTATTCGGATAAGCCTTGCATGCATCCACCTTGATTCAAGACAAACACTTCTCTCATGCCCAACTAGGCTTACTGTATATTTCTGTACTTTCACTTATACAAGAGGGTAGCCCAAAGCAACAGGGGAAGATCCAGTAGGGAGAGGGACGTCACTGGGAAGGGCTCCTGCTCCGTTTTGCTACTAATTATTTTAAAATTTCAATGCAATATACAGTATGTGCTATTTGCTTATTCAATTATTTTGAAACTGTTGTGCGCCCCCTTCCCCGTTTGAAACATTCTGGATCCACCCTTGATCACACTGCACAATAATTCCTCACAAGGACTACTGTGTGCTGCAAAGACACTCAAAACATTAACTACAAAGTCGTCCTTCAGAAAAATAATGACATATGGTAACCATAACATCCACAACGATTGCCTCCTCAACTTCCCCATTCGACAGTGTACATGATCGCCACCTTTCCCGTCTCATTCAACACCGTGCAGAGTACGGGTATATGCTAGTTGTTGTCGTTGTTGTTGTTGTTGTTATTATTGTTATATTATTATTATTATTATTATTATTATTATTATTATTATTATTATTGTTATTATTATTATTATTATTAATAAATTATAAGACATATTACCACGGAAAATAACAGTAACGTAAGGAGAAAAAACCAAAACCCCAAAACTAAAATAATTTCTATTAGTATCGATGTAAATTTGAGAGAACCGGAACACTAAACTAGATTCGTTAATGCCGATTAGAGACTATATAGAATACAGCATTGATTGTTGTATATTACTTATTTTGTCGAACAAAGAGTGATTCATGATTTGCTGGAATAGTCAGTCTGTGAGCCTAGATACTATTATTGCACAAATGAGGTTATTTTTTTCACTCTGAAAATGACTTTGGTGGGGGGGGGGGTATGTGAGAAAGTCAACGTTGCAGCACGGTTTGCAGTTTATTTAGCTAGATTTTACGTAATAATTACGTACTTATTGTTCTACCAAAATATGTTAAGAACACCAAAATACCACGTTAGTGCTAATGGTATTATAATAACATAAAACTGTGCTATCACTAAAACTGAAATCGAGATCACTTAACACGAGTCAGAAAGCGCGTAATGATTATGATAAACGCGCTGCATATCAGTCAACCGTGTGGTGAGAGCTATTGATACTTTATTTCAACTTTAGAATGAATGAAGACATGGAATTAATAACCACCTTTATTTTAGGAGGGAACCGCTTAAATAACTGTCGAAGTTGTACTTGTAGAAAGGGCTCAGGTGGCACGCATGTTGATTAATTGAACGCACTTTTAGGATGGCATGCCTCATTGCATATAGTGTATTCAAATTCCACCAAAATGCTGCTCTACTGCACTGTATGTTTGCATTACATTATAGAATAAAGTTAATCGCGATAAAGCTACTAAAATAGGAAAATAATACTATAATTAGCAATTATTTTAAAATTTTGAAAATACTAATTGGAAAAGAGACTTTTATGGGCCATTATTGCCTTCCAAAATTTACTTGTGGTGGCAATATGGTTCAGTTGGATTTCTATTCCAATAGTGCATTGAAAACGTTGCAATAATTAGTATATAGTAAGTTATTCACCTTTTTATCTAAAGTAGCGGAGGTCCAGAAGCCTTTCCTATGTTCTAGACCTATAGGCTACTGTATGCACGTAAAATAAGTAGATAAACATAATAATAATGATTGTTGCTGTTATTATTGCTATTATTATATAATATCTATAGTTGAGAAAAAAGACTTACAAGTTGTTCAGTTTTCATTATATATTCGCAAATAACTTTTATGCCTGTCTGAAATTCGGCATCGACAGCTCGCAGGAGGGCGTCACCTATTTCGAATCCATTTTCAAGTAGCACTTCTAGTGAATCTGAAAGAAGAAAACCCACAGAAGACTGTATTTAGTACATATCACCAGTGTTAAAGAGATACCGGTATTTGGCGAGGATAAACAAAAATAAAAAATATTACTCGAGATTTACAATCTCCACAATATGGACCTTTTCGTAGTGTCAAACAAACTGAAGAACTGGCCAATCAAAACAGGGTCAGAAAATACGCCCTTGCCCCCCCCCAACCCCACAAACACAAATAGTTATTAAATTCAAATTCAAATTAAACTTTATTGCAATCGAACATAGTGATTGGATAAGACAATGTACAGTACAAGAAAAGATAAAAACATTCAAAATACAAACACTATTGATCTAATAATTGGGTAGAATGAGTAATGTATTTTTCTAAGAAAACCACCTGTTTTATAATCTTTAGGACGAGATGTAATAAGAAAGTATAATACATTTTAAGAGAGCAGCTTAGCTCAGTCGGCTACACCGGTGGTAGCCACTGTGTGAGCACTGTGCCATGAAGATCTCTTGGTCCCCGGTTCAATTCCTATCGCTGCTCTTCTTGTATTTCAGCTAGTGGACTGAAATGCAAGTTACGATAGCGCACCGTCTTTCGAATGAGACGTAAAGCCGTTGGTGCTTGCATTATGGCCCATGTGCACGTTAAAGAACGCAGTATACTCTTCGGACAAAAGTAGGGGATTGTCGCCACCAGAAGGACCCCACTGGAAATAAGTCTTCTTTAGACTTTCATGGGTTATCCTTGTTTCGTGTTTACACCGAATAAATCCAATCCAATCCAAGTATTGAAATACACGCCATCGTGTTGGAATTCAATATTTCGACATTAATTACGTCATCATCAGGAATGATCATCCTGGTGATGACATACTTAATGTCAAAATGTTGAAGCCCAACACGATGGCCTGAATTTCAATACTTGGTGTATGTATTATACTTTCTTATCTGAGATTAATCAGTGTACCTTTCCGTTTTTTACATGTAATAAGAGTAAGAAAATAATAGTCAACGTTCATTTTAGAAGGTTTTGAAAAAATACATTACTGTTACCCTATCCTATTTTGAAAGTCAAACAGCAGCGATACAATCTTGGAATATACTAATGGATATATTAAGGGTTGGAGTCTCGCTGCTTCATACACTTTTCTTTATAAGAACCAGTAAAATGTTGCACAGGCTCAGTGTTCTGATTTTCTTCTTGCCCAGGCTTATTTCACACACTTTTCAATCAAAGAAAATTGTTTTTGTACAGCAGTACTATATTGTTTCACTGTTATTTATAGATAAAAACCTCATTTGACATTTTCCTCAGCCTTATTTTGTTCTTATTAAGCAATTTCAGCCGTAAAAGTAGCATCACTATCGTTATCTTCATCCTAGTTCTTATCCTTATGTGTAAGGAAGTAAGTTTAACCAAACATTATAATGACCCTAATTTTTTTTATCAGTATCGAACATTATATTTTCAGTTTTGTTTACATTTATGTCATTGTTAAATCGTTCAGAATGTGAATTTAAACTCTGTCATTTTAATCTAGTTGAGAAAAACCGCTGGGAATATTGTATTAGAATATGTAATATTTCTATCACCTTCACTCATAAAAACTTATCTGCATAACGATATAAAGATATATTTACGCAACAGTGTATAGACCCTCGTTATTGTCAGACCGTTCACATAATGTAAATACTGTACACGGCTCGATACGTATATTATACCAATATGCCTATACATACGGGGTTGTCTTTCATGTTAGTTTCATGATAGCTTGCAGGTAACGCATATTAATGATCAATTCATTGCAGTATAAATATCAGTGGAATAAATATCCAGGAATCAGAAATAGAAAGCGTCCACGGTAGGACTTTTACAAAAGGAGGAGTAAACAAGACGAGATCTCCGAAAAGATACTTTAGTAATAATTCTAGATCTCAAACTACACCGTAGGCCCAAATTGTTGTTGAACAGACTGAATGGTTGAAGCTTTCTCCAACCTTGACTGGATCATATTTTTCTACGTTTGAAATGGTTCAGTCAAAAAATAAATTGTGATTTTTCTTGAATAATATCTGGCATAAATTTATAGTCACCTTAACATCACGTATATTAGTAATAAAACACTAATGAGCTCCATTGTTTTTCCCGGCGTAGTATTATTAAAAACTGTTACGTGTATTCCACATACAATATCCAGAATATTCCGACTGAAGGTCGAGTAAATCGTTTAGCATTTATGCACACGAAGGTTATATGCATCAGAAGTGTGAATAGAATATTAATTTTAGTTTTACAGAATGTACTTTTGATTTATATTTTAAATAACACTAGGGTTGGCCTAAAATATTGGTGAGCTAGCAGCTGGCCTTGAAAGATGGGCATGTGCGGGTTCTGGTCCATTGCAACCTGGCCTTCTGCCACCCGGCCTGTTGCCGCCCCTCCCTCGCCCCAGCCGGTTACCACCCGGCATTTTGCCATCCTAGGACAGTTACCACCCGGCCATTTGCCACCTGGCCTTTTGCCACTATGACCATTTGCCACTCAATGCCTGTTGCCATCGAGGCCCGTTGCCACCCGGCCTTTTGCCACTGTGACCATTTGCCACTCAAGGCCTGTTGCCATCTCGAGGCCCGTTGCCACCCGGCCTTTTACTATCTAGCGTCACACAATGAAGTGACATGTTACGTGATGTGTTAAGCTAGGTTCAAACTAGATCGCCTTAACGCAAAAGGAGTGACGCAAAAAAAAAAAAAAAAAAGAAACCGCGGCTATTCCAGTATTCCCCTATTTGTGAACAAGTTAACCTGTTGGAGGCTTACCAACCCATCTAGTGTCATGCAAGCATATAGAATGAATTTGAACTTTTTCCTATATAAATTGACTTTTCTTTGTAAATATGGTAGAAATTAACCGTAATTATTCGAATAAACGCCCTCTGATGTTTACTGTTGAGAAGGGGTTTTGAGGAAGCGTTTATTCGAGGGACGCGTTTATTTTTTGGGTGTATACACTCAAAGAAACGCCAATTAATTCCACTGTATAAGTGGAATTAATTAACAACACATAATTACCGTCAAAATGTGTTATTGCGTGATTATAAAGACTTATTGATCCCAACCAGGTTAAAAAAACATGTAATTATTTTGGAATTGTGCTGAGAATGATGTTGCTTCCATTAGATTTGTTTGAGTACTTTTAATTTTTTTTTGGGGGGGGGGATTATTTGAGGGAAATGTAAACGCTCCGGGGAGTTTTTTTCGAGGGAGGCGATTATTCCAAATAAGGGTCTAGAATTGGTGGGGCGTTTATTCGAATAAATATGGTAATACAATAGAACTCCTATTAAGGGGACACCTTCGAGACAAAAAAAAATATTGTTGTCTTAATAGTGGTATCCCCTAAATGAGGTACACTAAACAAAAACATAAAATTGTCCCCTTAATAGGGCTTTTGGCATGATGTTATACCATGATGACATAGATTATTTATAATTTTACTTTAATTGACCTAAGAATGACTTAGTTAAATTATGAATAATTTATAAAACATAATTTGCAATGCAAAAAATAACTCATTTATGATTTTAAAAAAATCAACAGATTTGTAATTAATACTACAGAAGTTGTATATGTTCCCGATATTGTTTCTTGATTCGATATACAATGTTAATTACCAATATTTTTTTAAATATTGAGCTTTTTATTGGATCAAAATATAGAATGCCCAAAATTCTGGTTTGATGTATATATAATATTGTCTTTGACTTTATATGGGATAAGAAAACAGAACAAAATTAAGAGATTAACTCTCGGGGGTATAAAAGCCCCATATCCCAGGTACAATCTATGAAAATAGCTTGGGGTAATCGTTTATAAAATGAGGAAATATCCAAATGGAAATATTTGCCATCCATGTATTTTAATAGACTTGTCCATTGAACAGTTTTTTGATTATATGTCACATAGGCCTATACACTACTACAATCCCACATTCCACAAAGGGCCGAGATTCTACTCGTCAATAATTAATACTTTTAATAAATTCAATGAGTGTACAAGCAAAGCAACCAACATGCTATGATGAAATATTAGAATAACCTATTTGGGGACACAAAATGATAATTTACAGTATAATGGTTTGTCATTGTTATACGGAAAATGGGTTAGAACTAGTACACTTTTTTTAAAAATAAGAACACATTTATAAGAACACTGGGGCTGAAATTTCTTAAAAATTAAGAACAAAATAAGAAATAATTGAGCTGAGTTAAAATGTCAAAGAGGTTTCTACACTTAAAAAATAGAAAAACCAACAAATCTTATCTGTACCTTATGTTCAGTAGGTTTATAGTAATATATTGCTGTACAATAATATTTTTCTATGTATGAAAAATTGCAGGGTATGCCAGGTATTGGCATATCTAGGATATGCGATGGGGAAGCACCCCCCCCCCCGAAAAAAATACTCGCCCATTCCCCGGTCACGCCCCCGCCCACAAATCCGTGCTTAAGTAGTTAAATCACCTCAAATCACCTTATTTTGCGTGTTAGCCCCTCACATAATCATCGATTCCCCCACTTTACCTTCCTACCCCCATCAGCTCCCTTCCATTTCAAGACCCCTACGCCACTGATGCTAGAGCATGCTAAAAAGTTAGTAAGCCTACTATTATACAGAATCAGATTGCGTTCTATAGTCAAAATACAATGTATTTTATGTTTAATACCGGCATGATTGTCTTCTCTTCAAAAGAGTTCTTATTCTGTAAAAAATTCTTCTAGTTCAATTAATTTATATGTTTCTCTTGTTCGTCCTCATTTTGAGTACTGTAGTGTTGTGTCTAATTGTTTCTCGTCTACTTAATGCACCCGTCTTCAAAAAGTCCAGGATTGTTTATTCTTCTTGTCGTTGTCCCCTTTGTCTTTACCCTCCTTTGATTCTCGTCGTTTGTTGTTTGATCTCCAATTTATGTATAATTGTATGAATTCCAGTTTTGTCTGTTTT